TGTTGGGGGGGGGGGGGGTATATGGCCCTTTTATTTGATCAATGTCAGTGTTATATATTGTTCATGGAAGGAGGTCCACTATCTCCTCATAGTTCCAAATGCAAAGTGATCCCACCCTAGGTTCCATATGCACTTGGTTGGGGATTAAGGATGAATGTTCATAATTCCTAACCGAATGTATTTTGTTCCTTCAGTTGAGTATGGCATACACGATCCCATCATTTCGAGCTTGGGGTGTTGCATTTTGGACTTCTTCAGGTGGACTAGAAAGTTTGTCCACTTTGGTGTTGCTTATTTTCTTCATGATTCAGGTGGTGTGAAATCATTACTCTTTGGCTACAGGTTGGTATCCAATCAAAAGTATATATATAATTCACATCTTCATGTTTGGTTAAGTACAGCATCATCACAACTGAGTAGACTGTTGTACAATTGTTCTTTTGTACCAAAAGGTAAAAAATATTAGCAAGTAAGAGTAAGTGTACATTATAAGCATTAAAACTGATATATATAGATGTGCATATGTTATCTTTTGGTATTTGTACTAAAATATTATGAGAAACTGTATTTGGCAAATTTAAGTTTTTATACAAAGTGTTTTTTTTTCCCATTTAGAGTCACAATTTATAAAATGAAGCATTATAATTATTGAGAAGTATTGGAATTAATATAATAGTCGTGCTTTCCAAAACTTAGAAATAAGCAAAAGAAAATGGAGCTTAGGAACTATTTGTCTTTGAATTTTATATATATTTTACTGAAACACTGAGCATGGTAATTGCTTTGCCATTTTTTTCATGAATGATGATTTTTGAACTTTACCTATTTGTAATTTAAATTAGAAAATTTTGAAAATAATAATGTTTTCTTCATCAATATTAACGTGGCTATTTTTCCCTGTATCTTTTGTACCTTCAGGAAAGTGCAGGTGTAACTTAATTCTGTTACTTTAGAGATGTGCTTACCTAAAAAAAGTCAAAAAGTGTTGAAGAACGTAGTTTGAATTTCTGAAGCTGTGTTCATTCATTCATTTGAAACAGAACATCAGGAAGTTTTGACAAAGTTTGGTTGATAATGGTTTTGTGTTATTAAATACATGTATTGTAAGTTTTTGCTGTTACATTACATTATAATCTTTATTTTTTATCCATCTAGATAAGCAAATTGATTAAAATTACACTATCTCTACAAAATGACAGTTTTATCATTATGTTCGTTTTGCTACAATACGATATATGAAGTGTAACTTAGTATGGAACAGTAAAGGGTGACGTACCTTATTGCATTTTTTTTTTAAAATTACAACTTTGTCAGATTGATTCTCTCTTAACTCTTTTGATAAGTTTCAATTAAATAATCTTTATTTTTGATATAGAATATAGGTTAGCAGATAAGTATACTCCTTTAAGTGTGAAATTATAGTTTATAAATGAGTTTATTTGGTATTAAAAGCTCTAGTGTTTATCATTAGATTTTGAATTATCTGTAAATTTCTTACAAGCATTTCTCTATGGATAACACCTTAATGCATTGTAATACTGTTATAGTTGTTCTTACTTGCAACTCTTGCTGCCAGGGGTCTAAAAGTTTCAGGGTATTGTCCATTATACTAGTCTGTTATCTTGTTGCTATTAGCACTAGAAATCAGTGTGATTTTAAATATGAAAAAATTGTTTAAGGTCTTGGGTGTGATAAAATGATTTCATTTAAGTATTCAGTGAAATTACCTAAATGTTTTTTGGTTTTTTCAAGTAATCTGATGATGGTTCATTGTAGTACGGCATGCTACTAAAGTTTTCAAAATTTTTATGATATATATGTATAAAGCATATAAAAACTAATTTTCAGCTGTTAATGAAGGATTGTTATAGAAATTGTGGAAACAAAGAACTCTTGTAAAAGAATGGCTTCCGAATACAATAACATGGTCCAGTAAACAAGGCATATTATACATCAACAAAAATATGTAAATATTGTAATACAGATGCATGTATGCTGTATATAATAAAACTGGACTTATGTGAAAGGAGGTGGGGTTACTGTATTATCACAAGTTGAAGTATTGTACGATTTCAGAATTGTTCTTGGTTTTCTTCATTTTATTTTCTGTATTATCAAGTAATTTAGTTGAAATCACTACCTTATCAATAAGTAGTATGTACATATTATTTCTTCATTTGTTTTTGACAATTGAATTTATTCATGTTTTAAACTTGTCTTTTTGTGGAGCAAATTATGATATGTAAAAAAAATAATAGAAATAAAGTTATCATGGTAAAATCTATTTAAACCAATATGATTGTTTAATGTCTTAAAAGAATTTCAACATCTTAAAACATATTTGTAAGTGTAAGCTATATGAGGAAACATATACCACAAGTCATATTACTGTGAGCCACAATTTGACAACCTTTGTTCTAGAAGGATGAGAATTTTCTGTGGCAATGCTTATTTTGAGATCAGTACAGGTGTTGTGAGAAACATATGGTGTGTGTGTATGTGTCATATATGTATATATATATATATATATATATATATGCAAGAAAGACAGTGCTACTAACAAAGATTGTTTGGTTGAAGCAAACTGTCAGTTGGTTTTAAATTAGTGATGATGTATGCTTATTAGTAGAGTGCATTTATATTACATGAAACATACTACAGTTATATGCTCAGTCTGATTGACACATTAGAACCATTATGTACAGATTCATACAGTATTTATATTTCAAATCATTTAACACATGCACAGATTGCTCATTGATAAATTATTTTTTTTGTAAATACTTCCATGAATATTGACATTCTCTTTATTCCAGGGTCTTAAGTAGGTCTCAAACCTCCAACATCATAGTTTTGCATGACTGAAGCAAATAACCACATTATTTTAGTGTTGTTTTCTAATTAATTTTCATCCTAGAATGTGTTTCAAAGGTATGTCAAATATGTATTTCTTGTTTCTACTCAGTTTAATTCTTAGTGTTACCAAAAACCTTTTTTATGGTTACAGATCTGCCAGTTTTTGGAGGTTTATATACAGAAAGATAATATGGCAGGTAGTCGAAGTCATTCATTTAAAGTGGTATTGCTGGGAGAAGGATGTGTTGGCAAAACATCACTAGTTTTGCGTTATGTGGAAAACAAGTTCAATGACAAACATTTCAGTACACTTCAGGTATGCTACTGTGTAAACAACATATTAATTTTATTCATATGTCTACGTACTGTCCATGAAGTTGGTTTTGAGTGCAAGTGGTTATGGGGATCTTCTGTGCCTGGAGGATATGTTGCCCTCATATTGGTGGAGGGCTGTTGTTGCATAATGATTATATCATGTACTAACACATTTCACTTTATAACGCATGTCTTAGGTGGGAGATATCTCTAAGGCTTTTGGTATGTGCAAAATATTAAACATACATGCAAGCAATCGCTATTGTATGCAGAGAAGTAAGTAGCTATTAGAAATACATTTAGGGTATGGAAAATGTTAATGTTAGCAGGGATAGAATTTGTCAGAACTTTTGAGGTATGGCAGTCAGCTTTTAAAACTCAGAATTATTAGACTGTGAGAGGTTGAAACTGCAGTAGAGTACCTGTTCATAAATGTATAAAGGAACTAGATGTAAATGAGATACTTTATATGTCTTATTTAGAATTTGGTACTCTATTTGCAATTAATGTTTTTTTTAGGCACTAATTAATGAATCAAGCACAAAGGATATATTTCTGTATTACAGCACACATGTTTATTTAATTTTAATGACATAATATTAACTTTAGTTTTCAAGAAAGAAACCTTGGTTTGTGCTAAAATTGTCATTATTATTTTATTTTTTCTAAGACAATAATACAAGATTTTCATTTTACAGGCATCATTCCTGAATAAAAAATTGAACATTGCAGGGAAGCGAGTTAGTCTGGCTATTTGGGTAAGAATAGCATTTTGTCAGCTGTATAGCATTGTTTATCATATTTTTCAAGTTTTCATGGTTTTATTCTAGTGTTAATTTGATTTGACCATATTAAAAGAAATGACTATTGAAATATGCTTACTGTGGTAAGAAATTGTGATGAAAGTAGACTGAAGTTCAAAAGGTTTTTTTTCTTCAGTTGATTAACAATATATCAAAAATTAAAGGATTATCAAAGGTTTATTTAGCGATGCCACAAGTTCTGAAAATAATATTGCATGTTTCAATTTAAATATGGTAATTTCTGATTCCATGCTAGAGTTTGAAACTAACTTTTTTACCTGTTGGCAAATGTAATGTTACTTACAAAATATCAGTGAAAAATAAAAGTTGTGCTCCCTTAGTACAATAGTTCTCAAACTTTTTAAACAGAGTCCCCCTTCCTTTCATTATTGTCATTTGAAGCTCTATCTCATAGACATGCATGTACATATTAGAGCTGGCAGATTAGTGGAATTTGCTCATTGATTATTCTCGTATGGAACTTGGATAGTTGGAATAATCAAAAATAGTAATAACAGAAAACACTTATTTTGATTAGTTGATAATTTCATTGACTTTTATTGATTTAATCATAAGATCATTTTAACTGGTTATTTTACCTGACACTAATTATGTTATTGATACTCATACTTATCATTTATATTGAATGACTCTGTATATGGGCTCATTTTGACTGACTTTGTAACCATCATGAAACTCTGTACTATAACCTTTAAGTACTGAGTGTTTATTCAAGAAATTAGTTAAGTTTTTAGTCAATATTATGTGTGTAGTATGCAAAAAAAATTTTTTTTTAAATACGTTTACTAAAGATTTGTCTGTGAATATGTGAAGACTTTACTGAGTTAGTCTGTGTGAAAGGTGATTTTCATGCTGAGAATAAAAATATTCTTATCTTACAGTATTCATATTTTATTTGCATAATCTTCAAATTCATAATTGAATATCAAAACTTTTTAGATGAAACTTGATACTTTATATCTTATTTTCTTTTCACTTACAACAAATGTAGCAAAGACAGTGAAACAAAATATTGAAAAATATGAAATAAAATGTTAAGACAAATTTGAAACTGAAACAGGAAATAGTCAATTTGCTTTACAGAAAATAATGTAGTATAGTGCATCATTTGATAGATTGAAATTTTAACTTTCTATTGATATTATAAATAGTATAGTATAAAACATCAGAAAGAACTATTGGCAATTTATGAAAGGTTGTGACAAGTGGTTCTGATTTTCTTGTTTATGACTTCATAAAAAAAATAAGATTGAAGACCATAAAAAATTTTGCTTTCCTTAGTAAAAGATATATTTCAATAAGTAACTTATATTAAATTCTGTACTTCTTGGAGGGGAGATAAATACATTAGAGAAGATGGAAGACAGAGAGAGCAAATGTCACAATTCTCATATTTCCTTATAAAATTAAAAACTGAAAACTTGTACAGTATTAAAATTTTATTTATTAACTGTGTTTTGATGCCAAGTTTATTCATATACAATAATAATAAAATAGTTTAAATAAATTTTGAATGTAACTTTGTAAAAGGCTGTGACATGCACACGCTGACCTACATGAAGTAAAGGTGTTAAATGTAACAGTAAGTTAACCACAGTGGGAGAACTTAGTATGAACAAGCAGTCTACTTACTATCACATAACAGCTATCTCAAGCTGGTCTAGTGAAGCTTAAATAATGTTTTTTCATATATGTTTATCATCCAATCTAACAAGTTTCTAAATTTTGCATTTTAATAACTTTTTAAAAAAATATATAACAATTAAAAAAATACGGGTATACGAAAAGAAAAAAAGAATTTTAAGAATTACCAAAGTAAACAGGCCTATTTGTACTTGAGAATGTACTTCAATAAACCTATTTTTTCCACACTACATTAGTTGTCCAGAAACTAATTCTTGTTCTTTCAAAGATGGATGTTTTAACACAAGGAATATAACAGGCACTAGAATAGAACGTCCAAAAATTCCTTGTAATGTAAATGGCTTTCTAGTTAAACTGTTAATAGGTTAAACAAATTCCATTACTGCTCAAAACAGTGACTTTAGGGAACACATTTCAAGATTTCTCTGCAAGTTACAAGTGGCAAAATAAACAATCATCAGATTCATGTAGTTCAGAAACTACACTTTCTGTTTGTTATAAACATATCCAATAGCAATGTTGGAGAGAATTATAAACATGTCTTGAAAGAGAGAGAGAGAACTTGTCCTATGGGTGTCAAACATTTAGTGACATCTTAGTAAAGCAAGAAGATTAGAAATTCAAATTTTTATTCTTGATTGTCAATATATTTAGTATGATTTTATAGTTAATTGGACATTCTTAATCCTACGGCAGCATAGAAATGAAAAGTAAAATTGGAAATTTGTAGTGGAGATGCATCATGTGACACAAGGAAGTGAAGATTGAGAATATATTTGAATATTTGCTTTTGAAATTAAGAAATTAAAACCCAGATTATGTGAAAATTTGTATTATAAACTGTTTTGATACCAAGCCTATTGACATACATTGATAGTTGAGTAGTATAATTAAATTTTGAAACACATACTTTGGCATGCTTGTATCTAGAGGTATATTGTTAAAAAACTATTATGATAAATAAGCTATACTATCATTAAATATTAAAGGTAGTGCATCACAGGCTCTAACAGACATGCATGTTAGTATACAGTAATGTAAGTTTTACATGATATATACTTACCTATTAGTAAAGGTGTGTATGGTATTTTTATATATTTTTCACGAACCTTCTCATTGCTTTCCCCCCTCCAAGATACATTCAACACAATCGGGGAGGGTGGGGGGGGGTTACCCCAGTTTGAGAACCATTATCTAAGTGGATATAAATGATGTGGATATGAATTGCCAAGTAATGTCACATTTTAAGTTTTATATTTTTTAATGTGCTATCAAATTTTAGGTCTATATGTATGATAATTATATTTCATAATATTTCAGATTTGTTAACTTGCTCTTTCACAGTATCTGAAGTTGTTTCCCTGAAAGGGGCCAAAGGCCGTCTGGAGGGGTCACATGTTTTAACCACTTGCATCACAATACAGTAGTGTGTTGTCAGTCAGTAGACACTAAAATAACATCACATAAGAGACACTTAACATTGAAATTAGTACTGTCATGATGTCAGTAAAACTTGCGCATGCCGCGAATCACTGGAAGAATTATGCACTCTATAGGCCACAATGCAGCATGACATGAACTTCAAAAGCAAGAAATAAAAATATTTATTACTTTTAATTTTGGTTTTATTTACTCTTGAAACAGAACACTTTTAGGGACTCTGCAGAAGTACATTTAGTATTAAATATGTTCATATATTTCACATAAGATTTTATTGTATAAACTGGAGTATACAAATATCAATCAGGCTTACTCCACTTGCTGTTTGTGTATTCACAGTAGATTTTGTTTTATAGATGAAACATGTGAATTCTTGAAAATAATATTACGCAAATATATGGCCATTTATGTGCTCCATATAGTCATTTAATTTTTGGGGGGATTTGTTTGTTTCTTTCGCAGGATACAGCTGGTCAAGAGAGATTTCATGCCCTTGGTCCTATTTACTATAGAGATAGTAATGGTGCAATTTTAGTGTATGATGTAACAGATGAAGATTCATTCCAAAAGGTGAATTTTAGTGTGATTTTAATATTTTGTATAAAAAATAATTTGTTTTTACAAACATTTTTTAGAACTTTTTCAGTGTGTGTGAAGATGAAGATAAATTTGTAATAGTGACTGTGTGTTTTGTTCAGAATATTAGGTTATGATATTTATTGTAAGAGAAGCTTTACAACTTAAAGTTCTAGAGTCAAGCAATAGAAAAGGATAATATTACTCAGTTTACAGTAGAAACTTTCATATTTTGGAGTATGATAAAATAATTTTATATTTAAAAAGACTTAGTATTATTATGATTTTTAAGTGAACAACACTATTTCATATTGTACTTAGGTTTGTGTGAAATAAAGTGACAGTTTAAGTTGATATCAGAGTTAGTTTGAGCTTTTTTCTTCCAAAAATATTATTAGTTTTAAAAAAACATTTTATTTACACATGAAAGATTTGTTTAAATATATGAATACTGTTTTAGATTTAAGCTTAAACTAAGCACCAACATTACTGAAGACTATTAGTTCATTCGCTTGTGGGCTGAGGGTGGCCCAGTTATTAGCATGCCAGACTGTGGGTCTCAGATTCCATGGTTCACTGTTATGGCAAAGGATAAAATACATCATGCTCTGCACTTTAGGTTGTTGGGTGTGTGCATTATAAAAATTATGATCAAATACCACTATTCATTTTGACAAGAGTTGGTAATGGGTTGAGATAATTAACTCCCTTCCCTCTAATCTGTCGCTTCAAAATTAGGGATAGCTAGTGCAGATAGTCCTTGAGTAGGTTTTTGTTAAATTTGACAAACAAACAATTTCTTCTTAACTGTTTATTTACTTAAAAAATTAGAATGTTTATCATTACCAAATATGGATTTTATATTGAACTTTTAGAAAAATGGTAAATTAATTAAATATGTGAGCATGGGATAAAAATTAAATTGATCATAAGATATCTTGTTTTAGGAGAAGCATCAGCAAATCTAGCTTGTTGATATTATTTTTTTATATTTTGCTGAACAGTACAAATGAAGTCATTAATGACAGTTTTTGAGTTTGAATGAAATTAAGTTTGTGATGTACCAACAATTAATAAAATAGTTCACCAGGTACGTTTTTGAAATTTAAGTGGACAGGTATAATTTTATCATGCATTGTCAATAGTTTAGTTCCAGTGTATTTTATACTATTTGTATGTATAAATTATATATAATAATTGTTGCAAAAGTACAGAATTATTTTACATCTGCAAGACATTTTATTCAGTAGTTCCAATTACACTGTGACTGTAAAACAAAATTGTTCTAACTTGTATGCTGAGGATATTCTTGTTATCTAATCAGATATTTGTATAAGGAAACACACTTTTTAAAAACAGGTAAAATGTTTTTACATCTAAGTGTCAGATTTTTTGATTTTGAATTAATTTAGTTTACTAATTTGACTTCAAAAGATACTCTTATTTTGAATGTATCTCATATTGTTTTTATGTGAAGTGTCGATGCCACCATCAAAAGCTTGTGATCATATATATGATGGAAAATTTAAAATACACTATAAACTCTGTTTGGAATAACCTTTAACAAAAGTTCTTGGTTATGCTTCAGAGTAGCTAATTTTATTAAATATTCTCTTCCACTGTGAGTTAAAGATTTTCAAAACACTTGAACACTCAAGTATAAATACTTTTTCCAGTGCACCAGATAAGCTTTTGACATAATGACTATTTTACTTCCTGAAATAAACTACAATGCTGTAAATGGAAATTTGATACTGAAGACTTGCATATTTTGAAATTTCAGTGACTTTTTTGTCATCCAGCACCTCTGGATACGAATAGGTAAAAGTGTGCATGTCATGACCTTTATACAGAGATACATTCACAATTTAAATGAACTTCTTTATTATTAATGTAGGTCAAAAAACGTGGCACCAAAATATTCACTATACATGAATGATATACGTACAACTGAATAGATGCATATTCGGTATGCACAATTTTCATTTCTAGTTCATTTCTCGTATCTAAAAAAATGGGAAATTACATGGGTATGCATCTTATCTGGAACACTTTTTTTGCTTTTTTTTACTCTGCATTCTTTCATTTAAAGCAAACTTTTATTATGCGAAATGTTCTAGATATTTTTTGAAAAAATACATAATTCAAGTGCCTGATCAGTTGTAACTTTAATTCTGATTGAATTCCATTTAAATTTCCATGTTGTGAGTTATACATGGTAACTTTGCTGTTTCACTTAACTCTTTCAGCATGGGCTTGATCCCTGGGACTGACCTCGCAACCATTTTGTGCTTGTTATACAAAGTAACTTGTCTTGGCTGTGTTATAGTAGACTAGTATTTTGTAAAATATGGTTACATTTCAATTATTATACATTATACATGTATATAGATTATTGCTATTTTTAAATAAATTCTTAAACTTATTTTTCTTTAAACATAAAACTGAAAATAAAGAAGTAAAGCAAAAAATTATCTCTTCTAGTTACAACCTTTGTACTAGGTTGCTGCTTGACGTAAGTTGATAACCCTTTAAAAATTTTGTACAAGGATATGAAACAAAGTATTTTTTAGGTTTTATATATATATATACATTTGAATAACTAAAAAATCATAAATTACTTCATCAGTATCATAGTATTCTGCTATAATTTATCAAGTTTAGTAACTACGATGTATTTTAGTCCAAAAAAATATGAAATTTTGAACAGACTAAAGACACACCCTACCTCCTTGAAATCTTGGTTCAAAAGAAAGAAATGGCATCCAAGCCCATTAAAATGGCTGAGAAAGCCATTAGGGTGACATTCTGAACTTCCGGTTGGCTATTCATGTCATATATAGAAGTAAGTGTATACAAGGAAGCATTTCCAAAAATGGAAAGAGGTGGGCAGGGTGCCACTGTGTTTGATTTATTACATGAGCAATAATCTTAATAAACGGAAAAGATAAGGTTTTTATTTTATATTCTAGCTTGCCATTATCAATAATTTGAGTTTCTAATTCGTACAAAACTATAGACTTAGTATTTTGACTTCACAAACATCTAATTTGAACCAGTGCTGCATTCAACATACCATCATGACACACAAAATCGATGTTTACCTGTGTTTTTTTAATATTTACTTTTAAATTCAGAAATTGAGTAATATATAGTACTAAAATTTGAATTATAATCTACAGTATGGCATAAGTTCATGAAATAGTAGTTCAATAAAATTTTGAATGTGAATCAACAAACAAGATGACATGGCCTTTCACCCGTCTCGAAAGGGTAAAATCAACCAATCCTCCATGTGGCATGTTTATCAGTAAATTTGAGAAGCAGTCTTTGTGAAAGTAATCAGACTTGTCCTTCATATGATTTTATATCTTGAGGCATTATACAGGAAATTTTGGAAAATATTTATTAGTTTTTTGTTGGAAATTTTTTTTATCAAAGTAAAATAATTTTATCTAATTATTGTTTGTTACTGCATGATGATATTAGAGTAAGACTTCAGCTTCACATTACTTTTTACACTTTTACTCTCCTTTCAAGTTTAATTCATCAGGATATTTTACTGACATGTCTGTATGTTTTATGAAAAAACTTAAAAAGTAACTTAATGAATGAAGCTTTAAATCTTAATGTTTAACTAAAAAGGACTAGGAATGGCTACTTATTGTTAATTTTACAAGGTTTCAACATTCTTAAAACTAATCATAATGCTGATAACTTTTTCAAAAAGTAATCTTTATTCCATAATCATAAAAAGTTGTTTTCAGAAATGTAACCTTAACTATCAAAAAAAAAGAAAAAGTGAACATCTGTCCAAAATATCTGAAGGTTGCGAATTGACACAAATGTTCCTCTGTAACTACTTTTCCCATTGGCGAAGTAGTTTGAATTTTTTGATATATGTGAATGATCATATTAGGAATATATAATGTGTAGCTGTAGTACCTCAGCTTTCAAATGAAAGTGTGCTTATTTGTTGACTAGTACCTGTTTGGATACATTCTTACATTGTGTCAGTGAAAGCTCATGAAAATTGGTCATTTGTCTTCCACAGAGTAAAAAAAAAATTATTCATGGTCAAGTTGATTCTAGTCATAAGTTTTTTGAGAGATTGAAAGAAATTTGGAATGATAACCCTAAAATTATCATTACATGAACAGCAATTAGACAGAAAACATTGATACCTTGGGAATTTTTGTTTTTCATCCAACAATCAACTGGGAATATACATTGGATCTTGGTGGATAGTGACACAGTTATTATTCTACTATTTGGACTACTATTCAATATTTTTGTTTTATAAATTGTACTTGTACACCAAAATCATCCCCCAAAAGGCAGTTCCTGAACCTCGGTAGCATTCAGCACATTTCTTTTTCTTATCACAAAAGTTGTTTTGAATGTACTTGTAAGCTATGTTTAATTAGTTAGTTCTTACAGTCATAATGTTGAGTCATAATGATGATGAGAAACAGCTTTATTTGAACATAACCTTTGATGGTTTGTGTATTTTTATACTCTTCCATATCTAGGTGAAAACATGGGTAAAAGAGCTTCGTAAGATGTTGGGAAATGATGTGTGTCTTTGTATTGCTGGTAATAAAATAGATCTTGAAAAAGACAGGGCAGTTTCTTTGGAGGAAGCAGATTCGTAAGTTTGAATTACTTTTACTCTCAAAGTGTTATGTAATCATGATTTTACTTTCAGCTAGAATGTTCAGTATCAACTCAGAAGTGAACCATAGAAACATGCATTATTTAATATTTTGAGTTTATTGAGTTACTCTGTTTTGGTGATGCTTTATAATTATGAAAAGAGGTGTACAAATCAGACATTAAGAAGAAGTCTTTCATAGTTTAAAACTAAAATGAATTAGAGCTTTTAAAAGAATATTTTGTTTGAAATTGTTGAAAGATATTGGACTAGTTCTTCAGCTGTAGAGGTTATTAATGTTGGAACATAAATTGCAACCTTACTTTTGATGCCAAGGCAACAATTATCAAGCAGACCCTTTGAGATGGATTCCTGTAAGTGATGAGGGGACCTCCCAGGGAAGGTTCTGTATCTTCACTTTACCTCCTCTGGGATCCAAACATCCACCCACATGTTTACAGTGCATGGCATCCTGTGAAAGGGAGGAGAGTATCCTGGTGGTTGAGAGGTGTCATTGATGGGCCAGTTTATATTGGTGGTACTTTAACACATCACTTTGGCCTTGAATTCCTGTAGATGGGTGGCCTTAGGGTGGTTCCCTCAGGGTCAGTTGGCTAGTCCTGTTAGACTAAGATCAACTAAGTACCAGTGTTGGATATCCTCAATGGGTGTTGTGAACATTGTGTCTGATGCTGGTGTTTAGGTATAGTGCCCACAAAACCCTGGCATCATTACAGTGCTCTATTTTAGCATTCTAGTGCATCCTCTTATAGGACTCCATGATGGATGGGGTCAGTGGGCACTTAAGTTTCTCCATTTTTATGGATCCTGCTCCCAGTGATCCCAAAAAAAACATTGATAGGAAAGTGACTATGTTTGGAAGACTCTGAGCAGCAGTCACCACC